GACTGTTCCTTTTAGATTGGCGTTTTCGGATCTCACCCGTTACACTCTCTCTCGAGTCGATCGAGTTTTTCTTCACTTAAAAAGCTGCACACTTGCACTGCAACGCCGCTTTTTTCTATTTCTTCGGAATAATTCGCATATTTTCTCGGCTTCTTTTTGACTGGTGGCAGAATTTTTGCAAGAAAACTGGCTACCGTGAGCTCTGTTACGTGCCATCAGGTCTCATCGTCGGCGAGTCGGCCGGCGATTTAATTAACAAAAATCTATAACTTTGATGTAAACAACTCACGGCACGAGCCCGCGTTCTTTTTCTCAAGCAGTGTTACAAAGTAATGTAATCTGCGCATGTCTGAGATTTTCATGGGGTTACGGTTTCCATGGGTGGGGTACCTTTCCGTGAGGCCTAAATTTCGCTTAAGTCGCCTTAAATCACCCAAAGTCGCCCAAAGTTACGGTGACTTAGGGCCCCAGAGTAGGCCTAGGAAAGCAAAGCAAAGCAACAGCTCTAGAAATAACTTATTTCAGCCTAAATTGATGGAGCCTCTATTAGAGACCAATTAAGTATTTATATCTCTCAAAGCTAATTAAAACTGGATTTGTGTTCAGTTACTATAGCAATGGTACTCTTATCCTGCGCTGATGTAGAACTCAAATTCACGATATCCCTTTTTGATATCCAAATTTTCATTTCAGAATTGTCTTTTTATGCCAATTTTATCAAACGAGAGGTGCTCGAAACTGCCAATCAAACAGGTGTTTCATTAAGTAAAATATCTTAATTCATGAGATCATAAACCTTTCCTTTTTTCATAAGCAATGAGATGATGTTCTGCAGCTCTGTAATTTGAGGATGCAATGCATCATGACTTTCTGTAAATTCGCTTAAGTCGATCTCTCTTGTTTCATTTTACACAAAATGTTTCAACGGCTTTTTCGAGGCAGAACGACATCCATTTGATCCGTACCCCCTGGTGATCATGCAAAAATTAAACAGGTACTCCTTAACCAGGTCATGTATTACAGGAGATACACCTCTGTTTCTGTGGTTATGAGGTCATGTACCGCTCTCCCGACCAAGAATCTCCACTACTGCAAGATGATATAGTATCATTGTAAATGGTGCGATTGCCTTTCCTCAGGGTTTGACCATAGGGGTGTGGAGATTGACCCGCCTTTCTTAACATGAAAAAAAAACATTTCGCACAAAACGACTTTTGAAATCATTTGGTAATCTGCGAGCACTTGCAATCTTGCAAAAAACTTTGAATTAGGTTTTCGAGGCCCGTGCGTGGTTTATATCATTTAGATATACAATAGGTTTCATTTTACTAGCCTTTTTCAAAAGATATTTCAATTTTAAGGCTAACTGTGTTTTCAAGTGGAGGTTCACAACTTTCCTAGGTAACATAGTACACATCAGTTATTTCCTATCATATTTCGTTTGTAGAAAAATTTGACGAGAGACTAGACGGATCTTTTAATACCTATAAAGGATCTCCAGGGCAGGGAAAGAAAAGTCACCAACGCTCTGGTTGGTTTCAATTTTGCTTCTGACTAACTGAGAGGGCGACATGAGTCTGAGTCCAGTCACAAACTTTGATCGGAATTAAACAAAACTAATACTGTTTCAAATTATTCAACTCAACAAAAACCAGTTACAAATATAGATATGAGTATTTTCAGGATATAGATAGTATTTGAAACTAGAAAGCTCAAAAATGCCTCTATATGAGCTGGTGTATGCGTCGATATAAATTTATCGGTGTCAAAAAATCGATCGAAGTGTTGATATAAACCGAACGTGAGCATGTATGACATTTGAAAGTAAATATTTGAATTTCAAATTACTCCTTTGGTGTTTTTTTTGTTTTGTTTCGCGTTGTTTTTTTCCCAAGTCAACGCTTACCAACTGTATTAGTTTAGATATCTGAAACAACTTGACATCGAGTACACGAGATTTTGGAACTTCTTAATTCCTCCTAATTTCCCCTTATGTTAATCCAAATTACTGACTCAGAGATTAAAAGGTAGTTAATTATTAAACACGAAGAGCTCTACATTTACCAGAAATTTCTTTTTTTCTACCTGTTCACATAGCAGATGAATGCGGTTAGGACGAAATGACAAATCTCACCTCGTTAATCTGGTCTAATATTAGCAGGATTGCTTTCATAATTGCGATTGTGGAGCACAGCAATTCAGCATCCTTGCATTCACCGCCAATCTCGCATTTCAAATACCCGAAGAAATTATTTTGTGTTAAAGGGTTAAAATTACAAGAGCTCTGAGGACAAGAAATGGCTCATCTAGGTCCATTCTCTCCATTTCGTGACCAACTGAGGACTGGTGCGAGATAATTAACATATTACTTCCGCTTTGAGCTTGGCTGTTGTATCCTCCAGTAATACTCCTTGAAGATCTTAATCAACAGAGGAAATCAAGCCATCAAAGCGCTGTAATCAAGGCTTAAGGTATCCTTCTTTAATTAATGGCTCCTTTGCGTTACTTAAAATTTTCTTTTGCGCTCTTTCGACATCAAAATTATCCCCGCATGATTTTATTTTCTAGTCTCCAAGTGTAACGTATTCGTTGCATGTACTTCGGCAAACGGTTCGTGCTTCAACTGTAACGCTAACAACCAGGTTCGAGCAAATCTTGTTACATTTCGTTAAGTCATTAGCTTACCAATATCATGGGACTATAGCCTCGCTCTCTGCCTTTTTATGGAGTCCGGTCTTCGATTCTTCCGAGAACGTTTTATTTCCCAAACAGCAACATGAATGCGACTACGCAGTAATAGGCCGTAACAAAAATATTCTGCTTTGAGTACATTGCAGCCAGATTGTTATCGAGTGATATATAAATGGAATCAAGAGAAAATAGATGGTTTATAATCTCTTGATGAAGTCTATCGACATCGGAAAAACACTGCAGAGGGAAACGATGCAAGTTTTCATTTGTAGACGGCCTTCTCGGAGGATTCAGGCGAAAAATTGCTTAATTAGTCTACCAGTTTTGCATTCCTTTGCGTAATTTCTAAACAGATGGAACTCGAATACCGTTGAACAATAGAACCTTGAACACTTCGTAACTATAATAACAGACATGCATGAAGTGCTTCTCTGATCAAGAAAACATTCAGATGAATGAAAACAAAACCCGTCTGTATGTAGTGTGACAGTCACGGGTTTCAAACGCAAAGCAACAGTTAGAGTTTAGTAGATGTGAATATTGATAGCTGGTATTATTTAGTACCAATAATATTTTACGATTAACATTGTTAATTTCCAGCTAAAACTTACTAACCCTTATGTTTTTCGAAAATATTTCTTTGACTTAAGTCCTGCTTTTAATTTGCTCGCTGATCGCCTAATCATCATGATTGGGTTTATTCACGACGAGGATTGTAGCAGGTTGTTAATAATCACAAAGATTTGTTTCCCCTTGAAGGCGTTCGACTTACTTCGTCTCTGAAAACTATTGAGGGATCCATGGTGCTTATAAGTGTGGAGCACTTTGGACAGTTATGGCTGCAATGAGCGTCTCATTCAGCTTTAAATATTATTTAATCGTAGAAAGATAAACCAGGTTTTACAGAGTTTCATTCTTTCTTTGCTTTTCACACATGTTTGATTGTAATCTGGATGATCTCGTAAAAAAATCTTCTATTAGCAATTAAATTTCAAATTGGCGATTTGAAAAAACTGGTTGAAATGTGCAATACTTTAAAAACGAGGTAGAGGACCAGAGAGCACTTCCCTTATCTTTGCAATACGAGTTTGAAGAAACAACCACCTCAAAAATACACCTCAGTTCTGGTCAGCACTTTCATTCCAACAGTCAACCTAGACTTCTCTTCGAGGTTACTAAGTTTCTGGCTTATTACTCTAAGTTGATCTTCAGTATTGGAGGGCTACTTTCTGCACTTTAGTAGAAATTGTCTGTTCAAAAATAAACGCTTCATATTTACCCGGCATACCTTACCTGCAAAATATTTTACTACCGATTAGAAATAATTTTAAAAGTATAAATATAGAACCATACATACATAAATATAAATGACAAAATAAAGATTTGAAAGTACGGTTCTTTTGCTTCTTCAGTGACATTAATTATGGCATCATCATCATCGAGTAGATCAGGAACTGCTGAACAACTGGCTAGGCCAGATTACAGAAACTGGCTTGCTCTTGGTCATGCGTTAACCACCGTCTTTTGTCGCGGTATTCGACCTTTTGTTGGAAGGGAGATGGAATCCTTCTATAGGAATTTAAAATTGACAGTTAAAGGACCCTGCATGTGTGTTTATTCCCCGAGGAGGAGACCAAACGAGTATCACGATATGAGTACATGTCCATGGGCAAACATAATCGAGGCTTGTCACCATAGAAAGAGACCAAACTGGAAACAAAGTGATTCAAAAAACTGGATGGACCCAGTTCTTGGTCCATGGGAGATAGCTAAACTCTTCCTTCCCGATCTGGGTGGACGTGCTGATATCAAGAGTGCAGACGATATGGACATCACTGGTATCTTGAACCTAATGTACTGGTGCAATCACTTCACTGTTCCTCATTCCTTGATCAACGATGTCCGTGAGACACGAAATGACAAATGGGTACATGTACCGAAGCTTGAGTTAAGTGACGCAGACAAGAAAACTGCTTTCGACACGATTGAAAACTTGCTCAAAGACCCTCAATTAGCCGCAGATACAGACGTACAGAAATGCCTGAAGGAAATTACCGATCTAAAACATGTTTTTGACTTGCACAGTTTCGAAGCTCAAGTCTTGGCCGACTTCAAAGAAGTCTTGACTCGACAGTCCAAAAAGAGACAGAGGGAGGTGAATCAACTAAAACAGCAAGTGTCGGTTCTGGAAAAGAGACTGAAGGTCATCGAAAAGAGCAAAGGATTTCTGTCGCCCCTCCGTGTAATCCTTAAAGGCATAGAGAACATCCACGACAGGCTTGTTGGAAGCGTCAAAGCTATTAGGAAAGGTTTAATTGTATGGTTGCTGATCGCTATTCTTTGCAGCTTGTGTCACGTACTGGATGACGACACCTTTGTAAGAGAAGGTAAGTGTATAGCCAATTTCCTGTCTAATTAAAACTGAACGGAATTCTATTTATAAAGCAATATTTAGATTTAACCGGATATAGTTCCCAGTTAAGAAACGGAGGAAAGGGTTGGCTCACACTCAGTCTATTGACGCATGTCTGAGAACATCTTAAATCGAAGCCATTCTAATTTTATAGAACGGAAGTCATCGAGGCCGTAGATGTTTTCCCTTTGGTCAGTGACTAATGCATACAGCTAAATTTGCTAGCGATTGGAAGGAGGCTTTACTAAAACCACTGCTTAAAAAGTGTGGACTTGACATTGCTTTTAATAATTTCCGCCCAGTTAGCAACCTCCCATATGTTTCCAAATTGTCAGAGAAGACAGCGGCTAATCCGCTCATTGACCACATGACAGCTAATGATTTGCATATGCCTCTCCAGTCCGCGTATAAGCAAAACCATAGCACCGAGTCAGCACTGCTCAAGGTCAAGAACGATATTTTGTTGACTATGGAAGCGCAAAAGGTCACTTTGTTAGTTCTCCTTGACCTTAGCGCTGCTTTTGACATTGTTCGACACGACCGGCACTCCTCTAAATCGTTGAAAGTCGAGATTTGGTGTGGATGGCAAGGCATTAAAATTGTTTGCGTCGTACCTTACGGATCGTAGACAACGTGTCACTATAAATGATGGCCTATCATCTGCTTTTCCACTCAGACAAAGAGTTCCTCAAGGAAGTTGTCTCAAGCCTCTTCTGTTTACGGTTTACACCAGTAAGTTGTTTGATATCGTCAGCAAGCACCTCCCAAATGTACACTGCTACGCAGATGATACACAGCTGTATTTGGCATTTAGTCCTGCTGTGCAAGGGGAGGACGAGGCCGCCCTAAATGCTATGCGCGACTGC